GTGTAGTTCAAGTGTAGTTCAAGTGCAGTTCAAGTCTGGATATTGTGTTGTTCGCGTGTCCGTCCAGCGCGGCTCAGGTGCAGTGTTTGTAGAGCGTGTGTAGCCCAAGTGCAGTTCACGCATAGCTCAAGTGTATCCCAAGAGGTGTAGTTCACTCGTGTTTCAAGTGCAGTTCAGTGGTAGTTCCGGTGTGGTCTAGGTGTGCCCGTGTAGCCCACGCATATTGCATGTGTAGTCCAAATTGTAACCCAAGTCTATTTCACATAGTTCAACTGTAGTTCAGGTGTAGTTCGAGCGCATACCAGGCGTAGTGCAAGTGTAATCCATGTAAAGCCATTGCAGCTCATGCGCCTTTCACGCGCTATTCAAGTGTATCACAAGCGTGGTCCAAGGGCACTTTGAGTGACGTCCAAGTATGTCCGAAGTGCGGCTCAGATGTAGTTCAAGTGTTGTCCAGGTGGCACTGGTGTAGTTCAAATGTAGTCGAAGTCTAGTTCAGGTGTAATTCAAGTGTGGTTCAAATGTCGCTGAAGTGATGTTCAAGCGTGCCTTGAACATATTTCAAGTGTGGCTCAAGTGCTGTACGGGCGTGATGACTGTAGTTGAATTGCAGTTCAAGTTGACATCCAGTTTGGTCGAACGTAGTTCACGTGTAGATCAAGTGTGGTTCAATCGTAATTCGCGTGTAGTTCAGGTGTGGTTCAGGAGCGGCCCTTGTGATTCGAGTGTGGTTCAAGTGTGGTTCGGATGTAGATCAGGTGTAATTCAAGTTGGGGCGAAGTGTGGCTCAACTGTAGCTCAAGTTTGCTTCAAGTGTAGTTCAGGTGTGGTTCAAGTGTAGTCTGGGTGTGGACTTTGCAGTGGACACGTAGCCCAAGGGCAGTTCAAGTGTTTTCCAAGTGTAGTTCAAGTGTAATTCGAGTGTAGTTCAAGTGTAGCTAAATGTGGGTTAAGGTGTATTGCAGGTGTGTATCAAGTTCGGATACGGTGTAGTCTTTGCAATTAACATGTAGCCCAAGGGCAATTCAAGTATATCTCAACCGTAGTTCAAATGTAGTCCAAGTGTGCTTTAAGTCTTGTTCAAGTGTAGTTGAAGTGCATTCCAGGTGTAGTTCAGGAGAAGTTCAATGTTAGTTCATTGGCGCTGCGGGTGTAGCAATTTCAGGGCTAGTGTAGATCCATTGCAGTTCAAGTTTGCTTCCCTTGTACTGCAGGTGAAGTTCAAGAATGACCCCGGTAGAATCAGTGTTACCCGTTGCTCGAATTTAGTTCAGGTGTAATTCAAGTTTAGTTCAAGTGCAATCCAGGTGTAGCGCAAGTGTAGTTCAAGTGTAGTTCTACAGTAGTCGAAGTGTGGCTCGGTTGTTCACGTGTGGTTGAAATGTAGTTTATGTGTACTCCCGGTGGAAGTAGTTTGTAGTTCAAGCGTAGTGCCAGTTTTCTGAAGCGCAGTCAGGTGCAACACTTGTAGTTCAAATGCAGTTCAAGCGTTGCCCAGGCGCGTTTCAGGCGTGGTTGAAGCAAGCGTGGCTCAAGTGTTGTTCAAGCGTAGCGCAAGTGTACTTCAAGTGAAGTTCGACTGCGACACGTTGCGAGGCGCCGCGCAGCCCCGCCCAGTGCCGCGCGGCGCACAGGGGCAAGACATGGATTCCAGTTTGGGCAGCTTTGCCTCGCAGCCCCGCGCGAGAAAGCACTGAGCGAACGCAGCGCCGCGAGGAACAACGCGCGCTTCGTTGGGACGTCGTTTGCGTGACATGTGTCAGCTACTTTAATTCATGACACGCGCGCGTGCTCATCGCTATATGTGCAAAGCAACCAGCAATGTGCGACGCAGCTTCGCGGAGGTGCCGCATCGCGCTCTCGCGCGCAAGCGCATCTAGCGTTCGGCGGCGGCGCTTTCCGCGTAACCATCCGAAAACTCGCCTGGCGAAGGGCCCAGCCATATGCTGTTGTGAATACCGTAATCATGCATATCATCTTCGCCCGCGCCCCCTGCGCGGCCACGAACCGCGCGAGGGGCGTGCCGACGTGCGTGGCGGGGCACGCAGCGCGAGCGGAGACGATCGCTCTGTGTGCGAGAGACTGAGAGCGAGTGAGTCCGATTGTGGATGAGCCCGCGCGTGCGTGAGTCCACGTGCATGAATGTCGACGCCCATGTCGTCGCGCCTCTCACGAGGATCGCGCCTGCTTTCTTCCCGTTCTTCTTCTCCCTCTTTGCCCGTGCACGCCCGCGCCCAAGGCCGCGGGCGCGGCGCCGCACGGAGCCCCCGCGATCCGCGCTGGTCGCTCCGAAGGGGTCCCGGCGACGCCCACGGGTCGCCCGCTGCGCGGAGCAGAGAGAGCGAGCAGGCTGGCCCCCGCCCCGGATGCGCGGCCCGAGAGCGGCCTCAACGCGTCGAATACGACGAAAAACTTCTGAACATCGAAAGCCGCCGCCATGCGAACTCCGCCACTGGGCCGCCGTGCGAGTTCCGCCACGGCGACCTTAGGTAAAGCTCCCTGTGGGGACACGAAGCGCTGTCCTGGGTGGTGGATGACGCATGCGGGCGGTCCCATTGGGGCCGTCGGTGGAGCCCTATGGGGCCACGAAGCGTTGTGTTGGGTGGTGGATGACGCATGCGGGCGGTCCCTCTGGGGCCTTCGGCGGACCCCCCCAGGGGCTACGAAATGTGTGCTGGATGGTGGACGCATGCGGGCAGTTCCAGTGGAGCCTTCAGTGGAGCTCCCTACGGGGCCATGACATTCTTTGCTGGGTGGTGGATGACGCATGCTGGCGGTCCCACTGGGGCCTTCGTTGGAGCTTCCTTTGGGGCCACGAAGCGGGGGCCACGAAGCGCTGTACTGGGCGGTGGATGACGCATGCGGGCGGTCCCATTCGGGCTTTCGGTGGAGTTCCTTATGGGGTCACGAAACATTGCACTGGGTGGTGGATGACGCATGCGGGCGGTCCAACTGGGGCCGTCGGTGGAGCTCCCATATGGGGTCACGAAACGCTGTGATGGATGGTGGATGACGCATGCGGGCGGTCCCACTGGGGCCTTCGGTGGAGCCCCCTTTTATGGGGCCACCAAGCGCTGTACTAGGGGGCGGTGGAATCCTGCACTGGGTGGTGGGTGACGCATGCCGGCGGTCCCACTGGAGCCTTCGGTGGGGCTCCCTATGGAACCACACAATGTTGTGCTGGGTGGTGGATAACGCATGCGGGCGGTCCCACTGGAGCCTTCGGTGGAGCTCCCTACGAGGCCATGAAGCGCTTTGCTGGGTGGTGGTTGACGCACGTGGGCGGTCCCACTGGGCCTTCGTTGGGGCTTCCTTTGGGGCCACGAAGCGCTGTACTCGGCGGTGGATGACGCACGCGGGCGGTCCCATTGGGGCTTTCGGTGGAGCTCCTTATGGGGTCACGAAACATTGCGCTGGGTGGTGGATGACGCATGCGGGCGGTCCCTCTGGGGCCTTCGGTGGAGCCCCCTATGGGGCCACGAAGCGCTTTATTGGGTGGTGGATAACGCATGCGGGCGGTCATACTGGAGCCTTCGGTGGAGTTCTGTATGGGGCCACGAAATGCTGTGCTGGGTGGTGGATGACGCATGCGGGCGGTCCCACTGGAGCCTTCGGTGGAGCTCCCCATGGGGCCAAGATATAAGGGAGGAGCGGGCGGAAGAGGAAAGCAGGATGGAGGAGGACGCGGGGCGCTGTCTCTTCAAAACAAGGACCCAACCTCACAGGATGGTTGGGAATAAGCAGCTTCAACATTGCCCACGCACTTGTGGCGAGTTTGCCCGAACACGATGACGGCGCGAGCAGTGGAGTTGACAATTTCAAGTTCGGCAGGGCGAATTGCCACCACACCGTGGTCTCGAATGGCCGTCGGCCCATCCCGCCACCGAGCCTGGCTTGTGGGTATGGAGCCTAAATGTTCGTTGGGATGCCGTGGGGGGCTTTTCGGAGGCAGTTCGGAGGCTCATTGGGGGCCGTTTGGGGGCCTCTTGGGGCACCTTTTGGACATCCCGGGGGCATGTTGTGGTCTCTTAGGTGCTTTTCTGGGGCCTCTTAGAGCCTCCTGGGCGCCCCTTAGGGCCTGCCGGGGGGCCTCTTGGGGCAGAAGGTTCGGATGTTCGGTTCGTGTTCCCTCTCTTGGGCTTTTTGGGGGCCGTCTGAGGGCCCTCTTGGGCCATTTTGGGCGCCTCTTGGGCCGTCTTGGGGCGCTCTTCGGCCGTTTTGGCCTCTTGGGCCGTTTTGGGGCGCCGGGAAGCCGGTGAGGACGCCACCATCTTTCAATAACCTCGATGTTTGGGCGTCTCGGGGCCTTCTTGGGCCAGCTTGCAGGCCGCTTGGGGCCGTCTTGGGGCCCTCTTGGGCCTTCACGCGCCACCACTTGGCAAAGCCCAGAGGGGCACGCGGGAAGCCACGTGGGGGCGCGCGGGAAGCCACATGGGGGCACGCGCCAAACCCCGGGAGGTTTGAGAGCAAGGCGCACGGGGCCCTGAAAGATTCATCAGGGGTGAGGGTTGAAACTTGGAGGGTTGGGCCCAGGACCTGAGGACACGCCCACTCCGTGCCCAGCGGCACGGTGGCGGATCCGAGAACACATTATTTGGTGTCCACGCTGGCTAACATGTCTTTCAATTGTGGTCTGCCAGGTTTGTCGAATTGCTGAGCGCGCTTCCTCACCACGGCCCTCAAATCGGGGGACGCCATGCCGCGTTTGGGAAGTGTGTCCCGTGTGCGCACCCGTGCCGCCAGAACCTAAGCGCGCGAGTGTCCAGCACATGAAGATGCGAGTCAGGTAAGGTGCACAGGCGGACGACTTTAACTTAATCCTTGGGCGTGCGTTCGTGTCTGGGTCGCTGCAAAAGTTAGTAGGGAAGCTGGGTCATGCGACAAAGTGCTAGGATTTGGCCGGGGGTCTCTGCAGGTCAGTTAGCGAGGGGTGGTTTGTAATGCTTTTTAGTTCGTAAACGTACTAAGGGGGCTCAGCAAGTGAACTCCGTATGGGCCAATTTTCCTGGACAAGTGTCGAACACAGTCATCAGAAGACTTGATCGTACAAGCAGGCTCACGACTCCCTCCTCTTTTTCTCTGTCATCTGTTGCTGTGGGGCTCTTTGTGTGCTAGGGTGGTACCAGCACGTGGACTTCACTGAGCGATTCGTTCAGATTCCTGGGGGCCTCACGCCAGTTCGTTGTTGCTTGTTACCCCGCCCCAGTAACAAATCAGGGAGGCAAGAACCTATCAGCTCACAGGAATGATCAAGCCGGCCATTGTCTCCCTGGATGTGGCGTCCGGAGGAGGTGGGTCGAGCAGCCTCGATTGCCTTTTCGCCCAGCACGAAAAGAGTGCAAGGCTGGCCAACCTCAGGGCAGCGATGCTGGGAGTGCCCCTCTCTTTACTCGGGCTGACAGCAAGCGCACTGCTCGTCAATGCGGCTTGGCGGCATGCCACGTCAGGCCCTGGAGACGGCAATGGACTACACCCACTGTGGAACCTGACCACCAGCGTCCTGAAGACGTTCGTTGTGTGGACTGCTGTTTTTCTGCCTACTCTGCTGACGGCCACGCTGCTTCACGTACCCTGCATAAGCATGCAGGCGATAGAACCCCGCAAGCAGTGGCATGCGTGGGACATGCAGACGGAATGCACCGACAACCACAACTTCGTCTCCTTCATTGCTGTTTTGGGCCTTCTTGCCGCTGGTCCACTGACATGGCTTGGCCTCATAAAAATGTCCCACGCGTTCCCGCCCAAGATGCTCAGCTTCCTCGTGGGGGGCTACAAGGAAGGCGTCACGTTCTGGGAGGTTATCGTGCTGACACGGCGCTCCGTCGACACCATCATCATCGTCCTGATGCCCTTAACGTACGCGGCTTTCTCGCAGACGACGGCAACGGTGGCGCTCATGGCTACCGCGTTGATGTTGCACGCGTACATCCAGCCCTACGAGGACCTGATGCTGAACAGGTTAGAGCTCGCCAACCTGTTCAGTAACACGATGGCAGCCAGCCTGACGGCGTACGTGTCTGGCGACAGTTGGAGCCAGACGCCCAGCATGAAGGCGGCTGCCTTCGCTACCGTAGTCCTCCTGCTCGTGGGCACCTCCATCGCCATGGTGGTGCCCCTTGCAGCGAGCCTGCGGCAGCGTTAGGGACCTTAGTGTCGCCAACAAGAGCGCGGTATCCAACGGCGAATGGCATCGAGCGTTGCACGGATTTCCTCTTTGGTTTGTTCACATTTGTTGACATTTGGAACCCCGCATGTGCATATTGTCCCAGAGCTCTGCGGTGCAGCGTTGTGTTTTTGGTTTGTTTGAGACAGTTGCAGTGATGAGAGGTGCTACTTTTGTTTTTCTGTTTCCCTCGGGAGCCCGATTTGGGATGTTTCTTGGGGGACTTCTCAGGCGGGCGCGTCCTTTTTTATTGAGTTGTTTGGGGACCTCTCAGGCGGGAATTTCCTTTTGAGTGAGTAGTTTTTTGGGGGCCTATCAGGCGAGAGATTGTTCTTTTCCTTGGAACCTCTGAGGCGAGAGCCTCCTCATCCTCATGCCTCTGCCTCCCTCCTATGATGGGATCCTGACGGAAGGAAGAGAGAGAGAGAGAGAGAGGAAAGGAGAGGAGAGGGGAGGAGAGGAGGGGAAGGAGAGAGGAGAGAGAGAGAGAGAGAGAGAGAGAGACAGGGCGAAGACACACCCTACGCCACATAGTCTTTCCACGCAGCCCCACGAATTCCACACGCTCTCTCTCTCTCTCTCTCTCTCTCTCTCTCTCCTTCTCTTTACAAAAACACTCCAACGGCCCAGGCCATCATGCGGTCTCCAGCCCCTCGTCCTCCTCCTCCTCCTCCTCCTCCTCCTCCTCCTCCGCTCGGCCAGTCCGGCGCTCTCCGTCGCGGGCCCAGCGGCGCAAGCCCGAGGACGAACCATGCGGGACCCCGGGTACGCAAGTGTCTCCCAAAAGCCCACGCACCCGTCCGCCCGCGTCTGCCGGTGCCGCGGGCTCGGGAGGTGGGGCACCAGCCGCGGCAGCCCCCGGTGGCCCTCCTGCCGATGCGGCGGCTCCTGGTGCCCGCCCTGCTGCAGCCCCCCAGCCAGCCGGGCCTCCCTTCAGTGACCAGGTCAAGGAGTGTGTCGACCTTCTTCCGGCCTCCTGTCTCGAGGACAAGCGCACCGCCCTGGCGGATACCCTGGCGCACAGCTCGAGACGGCCTGCTGGACCGTCACAGCCGACTTCCACAACAAGATCTTTGGTCTCGTCGGCGACCATGCCGCCGAGCTGGACGGCAAGATCGACGAGCTCCGCGACGCGGTCCACGAGTGCTCCGAACGGGTCGACGCCACTGCGGCCCAGCAGGAGGTCCTTCCTGACAAGGTCCGCGGAATCGAGGAAACGCTCCGCATCGCGCAACGTGCCGCGGGCGTCACGGACTTCGTGCGCCTGTCCGTGGGGGACGGCGACCCCGAATCAGATTTCTTCGCGGTCAACGCCAAGGACGATACAGCCCCAGGTGAAGTGCAGCGTGCCCTCCTCGCCTGTCTGCAGGCCGCGGGACTGCAGCCACAGCGCATCACCATTCGGGGCGCCGGCCCTGGCCGACGATGCCAGGTCGAGGTGCACGGCGGCGTCGTCGGCAACGCCCGCGCTCTTGCCTTGGCCCTCGACAGGCTCCCGCGGCGGGCGCTGGCGGCATGTCAGCGCCCCCGCCGTGGCTGGACCTGCAGGGCCCCTATATGTAAATCCTGACCGATCTCCACGACCAGGCGATTGGCCCGGACCCTGGAACGCAAGTGCGCCCAGCTCGACTTCGAACTGGCGAGGTCAAGGTCGACCGAATGCCGATCGCCAGGACCATCGTCCTGAAGGTCCCCGGCGAGCCTTCCAAAATCGAGTGGAAGCGGCCAGAGGCGAAACGGCTCGGCATCGATTGGATGCGGATGGGCTGCGGCGCGCCGTGGTCCTATCCGGTGCTGGGCTTCCTGGGCGGCCCCAGGCAGCCCAGGCAGCCCGTTGTGCGTGGTGATTTGGAATGCGTACAGCCTATGTTTGGTCCTCCCGCGGCAAGCGGAGGCGCAAATTGGCTGCGCTGCAAAAGTTTTGGCCAAAAGGTGCAGTGGTCATGGCCCAGGAGGCCCACGGCGACGCGGAGCAGCTCAGAACATGGCTGTCGGCCCTGCCGTATAGGTGCAGAGTCTTCTTCTCTGGCTGTGCCAACAGCACTCGTGCTGGTGGCCTGGCATTCCTGGTCCCGGAGGGCATTCTCGCGGGGCCCGTCGAGGACCGCATGTGGATGGACGTGGTTGTCCCTGGCCGGGTGGCGGCCCTCCACATCGCGAAGCACCCCGACCGCGCCCCTTGGGAGGGGTCCAGTGTCTTCTTCACCCCTAACTTCGCCCTCAGCCTCAGCTCCGCTGTCCGGCGCCCCCGCAGCAATGCAGCCCGGCTGGAATCAATCCCGCGGCCGTGCCCTCGGAAGCCCTTCCAGTCTCGCTGGCACGCTCGCGCTCTACCTCGCCTGCGCGCTCTGCTTTCTCTATCGGGCCGGAGGGTACCTGGCCTTCCCTCGTTCTGCAGCAACTTCGACGTCGTCTTCCGCCCCTTCGAGTTCAAGCTCCACAAGTTCATCAGCCCCGCCGGGCGGCAATGGATCGGCGACCCCCACGGGCGGCCCAAGGGCATCAGAAAGTCGCCAGGCCAGCTCCTCGGGGACGCTGCCGCTTCGTGGCTGCCCCCCCGGCGATTGCCCAGCCGTCGCGCCGCGGAACGCCCACTGTCACAGCCTAAACTCGGGCCGGGCGAAAGGGGGGTATTGGGAAAGGGGGGGGTACAAAATTTGCTGCCTGCAGCTGACTTCGGCCTCACCGAGGGGCCCATTCCTCGATGCAGAGTCGCCTCTGGCGCCGAGAGGCGCCGGGAAAATCAGCTACGTGAGCTGATTCTCAAACCCCCCCTTTGCTATCCCCCCCTTTCGCCCGACCCGATAAACCCCTGCTGACCCCTCAGATCGGAGCAGCCTGACCCAGGAAGTGATCGTCGACAGCATGCCGACGCTGGGCCTCCGCTGCGCCGCAGCTGAGGTTGGCGGTGGTTGGCGGCGACCTGAACGTCGACGACGGCGCTCACTTAGCCCATGCATATCTGCGGCGAACCCCGCGCCGCGAGGCTCGTCGTGGCCATGCCGAGCCGCGGATTGGAAGCATTTGCTAGGCTGCTTCCTTCAAATCAAGACCGACTCCCCTACGGATGGCGACGCGCATCGACAAAATGCCTCGGCTGTCGGCGGGTTGTATATTTCGCTGCCCCTGGGGGCTGTGCACGGCGTCCACTTGCGCGCCTACCTCGCCTCGGACCCCGCGACATTTTCGGACAGAAGACTCAGCGACCACGGCGTGCTCGCTCTGGAAGCTGCGGACCACCAGTGGCGCAGCTGCGGCTTCAGGGCGCCAAGATCGATTTATTCATGACTGGATCTGTAAAGAGCCTCTCTTCGCCTCCGTGTTCTAGAAGGTGATGGCCGCCTCCCGGATGACTGATGACGGCCCGATCGCGGCCTTGGAAGTCACCGAGGCCAGCATTTCAGTTGCCGCTCGCATCGCGCAGGACGCCCTGGCCCGGGTGCCGGACTTGGGCAGCCGCGAATCCTATCCCGACGCGCGTTTACTCGCCCTCCGCGCAGCTGCCCGAGCTCATTGGCGCGGAGACAACCGCGCGCAGCGTGTTGGTGAGTGAGCTCGGCGCCAGTGTTGACGACCTTCTGTTCGGTCACCGTAGCCAGCGTCACCCTCTCAGACCCCGCGGGTTTCGCAGCAGCAGCGGTCCGCGCGGCAGCCGCCTCAGTGCTCGCCCAGGACCGCCAGACTGCCTTGGCGAATGCCTTCGCCGCTCACCAGCGCGGCGCGCAGGCGCGCGGCGCCTTCTGGAAAGGTGAGGCCGTGCGAGCGGCCCAGAGAGCTAGCTCAGCTCTGGCGGCCAAGCATGCAGATCCTGGCCGGAATTCTCCAGCCCCGGGGCCGCCCTGCCGCGCCCCTTCCCGCGGGCGGCACTGCCGATGAGCCCGCGGCCCATGCGGTGATCGGCGACGCCGCTGGGATGGCGGCTGCCGCGCGTGCTCACGAGCCACGTTGGCTCAGGCCGTTCTGGCGCAAGGGCTCTGCGCAGAGGGGGGCCTAGCGCCCCCGTGCCCAAACCGGATGCCGCTGGTAGCCCGGTCGCCTTCGGCCATGTGCTCCGGGCGCGGTTCTGTGCCTGGTCCGCCGCAGCCCAGGGCGCCTTCCCGATCCCCTCGCCAGTGTGCAGGTTTTTGAGGTCCTGCCTAGGCGTTCGCGGTGCCAGGCCCGAGCCAGGAGGAGGAGGAGGAGGAGGAGGAGGAGGAGGAGGAGGAGGAGGAGGAGGCGGAGAAGGCGGAGGAGGAGGAGGAGGAGGAGGGGGAGGGGAGGCGGGAGGGGAGGAGGGAGGAGGAGAAGGTCAAGGAGGAGCAAGCATGCAACAACCGCGGGTCTGACAAGACAGCTGTGCACTGCGGACTCTTGGGGCAGTTGCGCGCGAGCGCCAATGCAATGTACCTCTGGACCTGGGACCCGTGCTCGCAGGCGAATTTTCGAATGTACACTAAACGGAAAGGGGGGGTCCCGAACCCCCTTTCCCCCCCGCCCCCCCCTTCAAGGGGGGGGGTGGGGTCCGGACCCCCCCCCCTTCCCCCCCTTAAAAAGAGGAGGGGGGGGTCCCGGACCCCCCTACCCCCCCCCCCTCATTTGAAAAGGGGGGGGGGTCCAGACCCCCCCCCTCCCCCATTGGCGCTCGACGGGGGAGGGGGGTTCGGACCCCCCCCCCTCCTCCCCTTTGCGCCGGAAAGGGAGCCTCGCTTCTCCTTCCTGCGCCGGAGAAGGTGTGTAGGGAGTACAGGGTTTGGAGTAGGGAGGGGTGAGTAGTGAGCAGTGAGTTAGTGCGTAGTGAGTAGTGATTATTGGGTAGTGAGTAGTGGGTAGTGACTGGCGAGTAGGGAGTAGGGAGTCGGGAGTAGTAAGTAGTGAATAGTGAGTAGTGTGTACTGATAAGTGAGTAGTGAGTGGCGAGTAGTGAGTAGTGAGTAGCGAGTAGCGAGTAGTGAGTATTGAGTAGGGAGTAGGGAGTAGTGAGTAGTGGGTAGTGAATAGTGGGTAGTGAGTAGTGGGTGGCGAGTAGTGATTACTGGGTAGTCAGTAGTGGGTAGTGCGTAGTGCATACTGAGTAGGGAGTAGGGAGTAATGAGTAGTGGGTAGTGAGTAGTGGGTAGTGAGTAGTGGGTAGTGAGTAGTGGGGGGCGAGTAGTGGTTAGTGAGTAGTGAGTAGTGGGTAGTGGGTAGTG